GACGCACGTGTCATGTGACGCAAGATGCATGCATTTCTTTTGTCCAATTTAAAAGTACACAGAATAATTTCTAACCCAAAATAGCACCGCCATTCTGGACGGTACTTTCCGAAAGACGTCCTTTTGTATCAAAGGGCTGCACAACTAAAATGGACTGCGAAAAGCAAAGAGAATTTTTCAGAAACCGATGCTTTGTCAGTGAAGTACGCGACTGGACATGCGCAGACTGCTGTTACACTGACAACTGCAACTACCTTGTCGAAGTAAGCTGCACTTATTTGCCTAAATGCATACTCATTTGATATAACCTACTAAAACCTTTTGTTTGTTAACAGAACGGCACACCGCAACCAACAGCTGGAATGTGTACCACACTGATCCTCATTTTGATACTTCTCTCTAAATAAAATTTTGTTAAAAAAACACCAACGCCCTACTTACCTTATTTGGACTACGTGATTTATCAATGTAGACGCAGCTTTTGTCACAACAAATTTGAATGGAAGAGCCCTGCGTTATTTTAGTGTACTGACTCCCTACTCAACCCGCATTTCAACATGATACATGCCCACTTTGCTCACCCGTAGTTTATTTAAATGATCTGCGTACCCCCTTTACCAAAATCAGAGAGAGAGAGAGTGTGCGTGTGTGAAGTAATTAAAAAGGCAGTATGCTACTGATATCTTTTACTACATCCCCCGCTTCAGTTGTGAATTAACCTTTCTGCCCTGAGAAAGAGTAATTTCGTCAGCTTCATCGAATTGCAAGGAGTGAAGGAATAAGGGAACAAAGACGCGCGCACACACACACAGACGCACACACAAATGTCTTCTTCACTAGGACGCGCAATAAAATCGTCGTGAGCATTACAAAAGGGTCGTTTTTCTGTCAGTACAGGGTACACACACACATTCATGATCATAAGCATCATCGGATGACACTGGTTGCGTTCGGGTCGGAGGTCTTTCGACGTGCGGCCGCGTTCGTCTCGGAGTTGTTCGAAGACGAGCCGGTGGAGTGACTTTCGAGAGATTGAGCCCCCGTCAAATTGTTGTTCTCCACAGCCAGAAGATTCTGCGGGTGGAAGCGGTAGTTCAGCCTCTGGTGCGAGGGGATGCGAAGGAAGAAGGGGTGGGAAAGAGCCGCAGCGAGGCAAATTCTATCCGCCGGATCGTACTCCAGCATCTTCGAGATGAGATCGAACATGTCCAGCGTGTCTTGGCTTTCCTCTTTGCAGTACCGCTGAAAAGGGACGGCTGGTTAGTTGAGGGGGTTGGGGAGGTTTCCCATGCATCAGACTGCCAAACGACATAACAGGCAATGTGGCAGGCAGCAAACACGAGTACCGCTCACGTCTATCTAATCGAGTGTGAATTTACGATCACAATAAACTGATTACTTATAAGACATCAGTAGGTGTACTTGTGTAAACAAAGAAGCACACAACATACCTCGAGGGGTTTGCAATCGGCTATGGGTTGGCGCGATCTAGGGGGGAGTTTGTGCACAGCGCCGGTGTCCGGACAAAAGTAGCTGGATCGACTGACATGCAAAACATGCACGAGGAGGAATCGCCATGCACGGCAAAGAAAAGAGGATGAGAAAAAGGAGAGCGTGATATTTGGCGAAAAGAATCATCACTCATGCAGAGGAATTCACTAGACGCAAGGGGCAAGTACGGCGGACAGAGCACAACGCTCAACGATGCGCCAATGCTCACGCACAGCACCAACAAACAAGCAGTATAAAGTAGCATATACTACTTAATTAGGTGGTGAGTAGTACGTGCTGGGTTTTGGAGCACTCACAAGGAGGGGGCGACAATTCTCGCGGACGTAGCGTCCTTCCTGGCTATAGAAGTCCCAGTCCAACCGACCGTGATAGAAAAACCCGGTTCTACAGTAGGGGGGGGATGTTTATAGAAGCCGACTAGACCGTTTTTTGCTTTTTTTTCGAAATCTAATTTATCTATCACAACGCCCGGAAAAATGACGGAGCCAAAAACTAAGAAAAATTACCGGGATTTGCGCGTCATTCGGTAAGGAATGTGACCGAGTGTTCGCTCCATCATGGCCAAGTGTTCGCGGTTGTCGTGGGTCTGTAAAAAACGACAAAAAAGAGAGGAAATTTAATTCAAAACGAAAGTGAAAGTACACAATGGCGCAGGCAGTAGTCAAGGAGACACGCCCACACTTGGTTGCTGATTGGGTGAAACCACCGACCAATCAGATTTGAGGACAGAGCGGTACATAGTGTAAGCTTACCTGGAAGAGGGTATAGCCGGTGTAGAGTTCGAAGATGATACATCCGATAGACCAGACGTCACACGGTTGAGACCATCCAAGTTCTAGAACAAGCAAAACGAGGTGCTGGGAGAGCAGCTGCTACAGCCTCAAAACCAAACCCTCCCATTTTCGACAAGGAACCGATCATATGCTTATAGCGGTAGTGAGTAGTAGTAGTCAGAAATGCACTTCTCACCAAGTATGACCTCGGGAGCACGGTAGTGACGCGTCGACACGATGGTGGAGTGGTGGTCGTAGTCGAAGGTAGCCGAGCCGAAGTCGATGAGGCGCACGTCGGAGCACTTCACGATGCGGTCGTAGCGTCGTTTCTTCCGATTATGCACGGAGATGTAGTCGGAGCGATTGAACAAGATGTTCTCGGGCTTGAGGTCGGTGTGGGTGAGCTGGTTGTCGTGCATGAAGCGCACCGCGTGGCACAGCTGGTAGCTGATGTGGCGCACGTGTTCGATGGGGTAGCCAACGTAGTTGTTCTCCTTCTACAAACGCACACACACACACACAGCATAGGCAATTCTCGCGCGGGTGTGGTTTTTTTAGAGGTAGGGAAGTCGCAGACGTACCAGAAAGTCGAATACCGAAAGCCCGAGGATGTCGAAAGCCAGACAAATGTGTCCGTAGTAGTCAAACCAATCAAGAAGCCGAACGCACAAGCTGAAATACGATTGGAAAACGATCATTGTGTGTGTGTGTGTGTGTGTGTGTGTTTGAGTACAGGTGAACACACGAAGCACTCACTACTCGTCGTTGGGATCGCGTTCTCTAAGGAAGTTGAGAACGTTGATCTCAAGCATCGCGGCCTCGCGGTACTTGTCGACGTTCTTGATTATCTTCAAGGCGATTCGTGTGTCGCTGAAAGGCGAATATTCACCATCGATTGGGCACAAACCAAACTGTGCAAAAACTTAAATCAATTTGCAAAAAATCACGCATTTTGATGAGGGAAAACAGTGGATTTTTGAAAATTTTGAGTTAACGGAAACCTTGAACCCAAAGCCGTTTCGATAGACCCTTCAACAGTCAATCACGGCCGTCCAGTTGGATTCCCTTGTGCCGAGGCTTCAACTGCCGGGGGCAGCTTTTCGGTAAAAACAACCAGACTCATACGGAATTAAGTACAATCAGAATTAGCGCGAAGTAAGTGATGTTTCTTGCGCAGAGAAACAAAAGTAGTAAGACAGGAAAGGAAAAGGTTTGTGGTGGTGGTGGTGGTGGTGGAGGGCCGTAAAAGACACCTTCTCCACGCCCTGTAACTGTTCCCAGATCGAATATGCATCGAGCGTAAGCCGTTAGCCTTCCTACAACACGCACAGCCCACAATGACTCCACCAAAAGCCACGCCGATTCAAGTTTACGGTCGCTCCGATTGCACCATGACTAAAAAGGGCACATTTTGTGGCCGAAGACTATGCCGACAGCTGAAATTAATTCCAAAATCGAAAAAAAAACACATGACGAGCAGGCCAGATGGTGGCAGAGCGATGCGTCTGGCTGAGTCTCAACCAATCACGTGACTGGAAAAAAAGACATACGACAGCGTGGTGGGTGAGGTGGTTTGCGGGGTGGAAGGAGCGACAAGGCGGTCGATCGCACGGCGTTGGCGTGACCTCTGCGGACTGCAGATCAACTCGGTGGCAGTTGGCTGGAGGCAGCGCTGTTCCGGGGTGGGGGAAGGGGGGAAAGTACACGACCTCGGAAAGGTCACGGCAGGTGGTACACACACAACGAAGGTTATAACTTTGCCCAAACGCACATAACTGAAGATTTGGCTTCATTCTCTCGTCACTAAACTACCACCTTGGTGTCGTCCATTCAAACAGTTAAACCAATCCAGAACGAGAGAGAGACAGGGGGGGCAAGAAATCGATACTTACGTGTGATGGTCGATGCATTCGACGACCTTGCCAAAAGTGCCTTCACCCAAGGTCTTGATGATCTCGTCTGAAACATTAAACCAAGAGGTGACGCGCTTATGCGCGATTAAATATTCCACAAGTGTGCTTTGATCCCGTTTTGTAGGACTCGAGCTAGGAAACGTGTCGTGTAATTTGAAAGCAAAGCAAAATAATGCGCTGGAAAACGCCCAGGGTGCAAATTTTGAGGGAAAAAGAAGAAGAAGTGCTTACAGCGATCGAGGACAAAGTCATGCGGAACGTAGATCAGGTGTCCGTCCACATCGTCCGTTGGAGCCGCCTTCGAAGACGCCTCTTCAGGGGGCTACAGAAAAGACGTAGGAGCACGCTTGCATGGACTTCACGTACCAGACGATGCTCCCACACACACACGCGCACACTACATGCATTCAAATCATTTCACCACCGGGGAATTAGCGGTGGAAACACTTACCTCCGACAGACGCTGGTTAGAGCCATCACAATTCTGCTGGGGTTGTTGTTGCTGCTGTTGCATGCTCAATTTCCTCTGCTCAATAAACTTTTTGGCGCGCTGTCGAGCCTCCGCGACGCGCGAGGAGCCGTCCGCAGACGTCGCCGCCTCAGCCTGCTCGGCCTGCTCCTGCTCACTCCGCTGCTGATTCAACGCCAACTGCACGATGGCCGCGTTGATCTCTTGGGTTTTCTGCGTGCGCCGCAGCTGACGCCTCAGCTTCCGCGATATCTCTGCGTCCGACTCCTCGTCCTCCGAATCGTCGCTGCCCTCCTCGTCGCTCGACTCGACCTGCGCGGAGGGCGGTGTTGGCGGGGGTTTGCTGGGTGGTTCAATCACCTTCGGTGGCGGTTCAGCCCGTTTCGGTTCTGCTTCCACCTGTTTAGCGACGACGGGTTTCGGCGGATCAGGCTGCTTCGGGGTCGTTACTGCCTTCTGGGGCACCGATCGCCTTGACACGCTCAAAATCGGTCCATGCACGACCACTGTCGAGATACACGCCCGTTCGCAATAATCCTCCGAGGTGAAATGGATCGAGGGGGTTTGAGTTAGCATCGGCGAGCTGATTGGATAGGGCGGCTCGGGGAGGATCTCAATCACGTCGACAATCTCCCCGTTTCCGGGCCAGACAAAGCGTTGTTGAATCGCGGCCGGATACTGAATGGAGTTCGTGCGACTGCGACGCAGCGATACACCGCGAGAAATGGGCACGAATGGGGGTATGTACTGTTGAATGGCCACTCGCAGGCCTACGTCATGCCTCCGCTTCGATTCCGTCGTTCCACGTCGCTGGCACACGGGACAGACGTCGCCCGGGTCGAGACTAAGCGCCTCGGTTTGAGAACCGACCTCAGCAGTGGCGATGCGTCGTCTGGCAGCGTCGACGAGAGCGCGTTTTTCCTTCTCTCCAACCAACTGCAGTCGCAGAAGTTGGTAGTCCGAACCGGAGTTAGAAAGCAGATTTAGCAGAGTGCTTAGTGAGGGAGACGTCGACGCGTCAGGGGGTATTCCAGAAGCCAGCAAAAGAAGACTTCTTTCGTGTTCTTGCTGTTCTGTGGCGACTTTAGCGATAGCTGCCTCGAGTTTTCGAAAGAGCGCAGAATTCTCCATGTCTGCGGCCGAAGTTCCGTTGTTGTGAGTGTGCTGGGGAGGTCTGGCACCGTTTCTGTCGGCAGGTGGGGAGTAGGAGGATTCACGAGAGGCGACAGAGCCCCTACGGGGCCCTACAAGATTCACAGGGGGAGGTGGCTGCGGTCTAGGTGGCGGCTTGGACGTTGACATCTCTAGACATTCAAATCTGGAGGGACCAGGAAAGGGGAGAACCGCTGTGCGACCTTCGTCAACTTCAAATTCCTCCTCTTCTTCCAGGTCACTTGAAACTGGCGAACTACTGCTACTGCTTTCTGAGGAGCTGGTAAAAAAAAATTCCTCCTGCGGTGGTGAAAAGGCTTTCACGGAATGCGCGATAACCGAGTGTCCGAGTTTGAAAGCGGTCTGAAGCTGCGGTGTCGTGGATTGGAAACAAAAGCACGCCTGCTTTGCAGTCCACGCAATGAAAGATGACCTTGGAAGTAAAACTTCAACAGAAACTGCAACTTCCAAGAATCTCAGAGGAGGAGGAGGAGGTGGTGGTGGTGGCGGAGGAGGAGGAGGAGAAGTTGGAGGAGTCTGACCTACAGACGACGAGGCAGATTCCCAATTGCCAGACGACTGGTGCTTCGCCGAGGCAAACGACGACTGCAGCAGCTGCTGTTGTTGAAACTGCTGCTGCTGCTGCTGCTGGGAGTGCTGAAAGGCTTTCCGACGTGTTGGAATTGAACGGTAGGCGGGGGCAACAGCAGTGGGAGGGTCGGCTGGACTTAGGGCCGGATACCAGGAGCTCGAGAGAGATTGACGGTTGGATGAAACGGCGTTGAGGTTAGTCGCTGAGGAGGTGGAGGCCCGAGTACGGAGCCCAGGTGGGCTGGGGGAACTGGTTTTTTGACCCAGTTGTGTGGATAGCAAGTAGCAGCGGAGGCAGCTGAAGAGGCGCCGTTTTGTTGTAGGTACGTGTGTGTGTGTGTGTGTGCATGTGTGTTTGCGTGTGCTTGCGTGTGTTAGACGCGGTGCGCACGAGGTGGCGATGTGCTTCTGGCGCTGTGTGCGTGCGTGTGCGCGCGCGCACACGCACGCACACACACAAGCAAAACGGACACACGCATTGCTGATCGCGCCCACCAGCCAACCACCACCAGCCAATCGATTGCGCGCGTGCCGCATCGATCGTGGCACGCGTCCACTTGTGGACGCAGAAGCGTTGGCGCGGTGCGCAGCGGATTTCAGATCAGCGCCGGAAACACGTCTTCTTCTACGCAGGTGGGACAGCATCGAAAAAATTGTACTGCATGTCACCCACACACACACACACACAAACTGTACCCAGTTACAACCCTCTGGGACAGCAGTTTCGAGTTTTCAAGCCAAAAAAAATGTTTGCAGTTTCACGGGGTTTAAAACCCGGGGCCTTAACTACTGCCTTCAGCATCAAGCCACAACAGCCAAACTCATAGCCTAGAAGTCAACGCTGATTGGTTGATGAGAATGCTATGGCATCAGCTAGATCACGTGGTTAGATTCTACACGCTCAGTCGACAGTAGCGTGATCATCACCACCGTTAGAGGCGAGTCCTTCTGTGTACGCTGAAGTGGAACTTGTTCTAAGGTTCGGGTTGGCACGACTTCATTGGGCCACTGGGAAAATCGATGGCAAATTCCAACATACCACCGACCACACTGTCCACAAGTGGGGTTTGAAAGACGCGCGTTTGGAGTTGCCATGACAACGAACCTGAGATTCGTCAAGACTCGTTTATAACGAGGTCGACGAGCCAATGCGCAGTGCTTGAACACATTGTCAATATTGTGACGATGATTACGCTGTCTTAGTAACCAAAATCTATCACAAGTTCCTGTCCAAAGCTCGCGGTGTAGACCTCGTCGAATCAAACATGAGTTATGGGTGTTGAGGCTTACTACGTGGCAACACAACACAACACAGACGTCTGATTCACCATTGTGCACGAAATGCCAAGGTCACGTCTTGCGCGGATGAGCAACCAGTCAATTGGTGTCAAGCAGATCGAGTCGTAATTCTCCGGTGTCGATCGAGCGCTGCATCCGACACCCATGGAAATCGCAGACTCGCGAAAACGTCTACCAGCTTGACGTCAACAGCACAACCATAATGCGGACAGTCACGGAACAAAATCAAAACGAGCACACGGCGACAATTGCCCGGAAATAGGACAGGCGAAGACTATGGGTTACCTGTTTGGCTTGGGAGAGGCGTCGTTTCGGCTTGGTTGGAGGTGGCGTTCTTGACGAAGACGACGACGACGAGGAGGAGGAGGAAGCGGACTCCAAACCACTGGACCGTCGACTCAGAGGAAAGTTGGACGCCGCCGCTGAGGTGGTCCGACTGTCGATGGCAATTGTCGAGTGCTTCGACGCCGTTGATGAGGACCGCGAGGTTGACGAGGATCGACTTCGCGACACCCTGGGTCTCCTGTAAGTGAATTTTGGAAAATTCGTCCAGGAAAAGGCAATGCCGGAGCAACTAGACCTTCGTGCAAGTCCATAGAACACACACCACAACGATTTATGCTACCGTTGATGTGAAGTTACAGCCTAGAAGTGCCTCAAGCCAGATGAATTCAACAGAGGTATCAAACGATGTGATCCACTTTGCCCGCTGGTCATTGGATCACTTGTTCTTCCGAACTCAAGGTTTGTGAAAACGGCACAATTCCCCACCAACCACGACCCGCTAAATAGTTAGTGAAATTGCGCATCGACTGCTAGCCTACGAAGGATCCAGAACCGATGCGCAACACTTACCGAGGCGGTGAAGGGGACGAACTGGCCGAGAACGTGGTGGGAAGACGTCTCGTCTGGCGTCGGTGCCTACGTGGTGGCGGCGGCGACTGGTGCTGAACCCGACGCAAACGCCGATCGAAATGACCCCTTCGTCGAAGAGCTGTCGTCGTGGCGACATGCCGATCGGCCTCAGTCGTTGGAGATCTGTTTCTCCGACGCTGGTGTCTCTGAAAAAGGAATCACGCAATTCGAGAAATTGATAGCAGAGCCTTCTGAAGGTGTATTTGCCGGATCATCACGCCAGAGGCAGCCTCATACCCTAGTTAATCAGCTGAACGCTCCACACACAAAACTAGCGGTGTTGACCTAAGGGTTCGGCGAATCCAGACAAATGCCACAAAGATCGATAACTGGGCACTGTGATCACCTAGGCCGCACTCCTGCTGGGATTTCGAGAATGTCGCCTTCAAAATCACACATTTCGCGACGCTTTCTTGAACTGGAATTCTCTCTACGATAACTCAGTAGTACTGTTGACTCAAAATGACACATATTCAAGAAACAACCTCGCCTTTCTCACAAAACACAAGTGGCAGGGTAATAAGATCACGTATTTTTTTAATATAAAGACGAGAATTAGACACCAGTGAGGGGTCGGATTAGTAAACAATCACTTCGTTTGGGGAGCAAATCAGGAAGACTGAGGAATTAAGTAAGGCAATACGTTTGGCAGTCGCTTTCCTTCGTGTCTGACTTGAAATCAAAACACCACGTTTCTGTTTTTTTTTATAAAAAAAAAATAGCATTTACTAACTGGGGTTTGTCATTTCAACACTCTGGGCTTTTGTAGTGTCAGTTAGGCGAAAAGTCGTGGAGCAAGGTGACGTCTTTCCGATGCCCCTTCGGTGTGGATTTCAACCCTGAACTGGGCAAGTTGACGGGTCATTGTGTGGCCACGCGGATGCTATTTTTCTCAATTAGTCACATAACAACACTCAAGTTGAATTCGGCAGTTCTGTTAACCCCCTCTAATCGTAGATTCCGGTCTTTCAACCCAGCTACTTCTTCTTGCCACGTTGTTAAACACAAAGTCTGTTGCATCTCCAATCATGGCGTGATCCCAGAAATGCTCGTTTTGCTGACGGAGGAGGTTGTGGAACCACGGTGCAGTTGGTTCTGGTCTGTCAAACCACCCACAACCCATCGATCGAGTCACGAAGTGGTGTACTGAAGTTGCCTTCAACCGCAGAATGCCGTCGATTCGCCAGTAGCTAGTCCCTCAACAACCGCTAGGATTGAAGATTGTCCTAAGTGACCAAGCACACGACAAATCCAGACAGTGGTGACTTGGGATTATGACGGTGAAAAAAGATTCTGCCGTGTGGAGTTGGTGCGGGAGCTTACCGAGTGAAGAGACGGGTGCTGACGTCGACGCGATCGTTGGCGGATCAGTGTGTGGCCACGCGCATGCAATTTCCCCAATTCGACACATAACGAAACTCAAGTCGAATGTGGCAGTTCTGCGAACGGCCGAAGATTCCGTGAACCCCCTCTAATCCTAGATTGTGGTCTTTCAACCCGGCTACTTCTTCTTGCCACGTTGTATCTCCAAACATTGCATGATCCAAGAAATGTTCGTTTTGCTGACGGAGGAGGTAGTGGAAACAAGGTTGAGTTTGTTCCGTTCTCTCAAAATGCGCACAATTCGAGTGTGGAGTACAAAAATGTATTGCAGTTGTTTTAATAGGGAACATTGCAATCGAATTGCCATTCCTTCTTTAACATTGCGACAATGTACCTTTTAATTTTTATTAGGTACAGACAAAGTGCCTTGCCTAGGCAACTTCCATATCACAAAATTTTACCAAAGGAGTTATTTTTGTCGCTTCATTTATGTATAATTAAAAAGAACAAACTTTCAGACTCGTATTTTCGTTTTTCGATCGGTGTCAGCAAAGTGTCCCGTGCCTTGTTTATTTGAGGTGATAATGCTTGTTTAAATGCAGTCATTCCTCTGGTATTACACACCTCGACTTTTACCGTGCGACCAGATTATCGATTTGATATATAATTACCTTAACAATTCACCGCAACACATCTATGAGAACGGTTGCTAAGCTATAAAACGCAGCGGTGATATAAACCATGCTCAGTCCCATTTATTTCTACCTGATAAGGGGTTTTTGGGTGTGTGAGAGCTCTACAGCTCGAGTTCCAACCAATAAAACACCAAGCTGTCCGTATGTGACATCTGGACACGATTTGCTCTATTTGGCACGTGTCTAACACAGGAATTTGAAAAGGAATGGCTGTAGAGGTTGTGTGATACATCGTGAACTTCCAAAACTCCTACCAACTTTCAAAATTCCTACCAACTGATACGGTTTTCCGTGATAGCACAATGCTCAAATCTTTTATTCGATATGATAGGACATTAGCTTGCACAATGTTACTCAATACTGGCTAACGTCAGTTGGTGACCAATTAGAGCGAAACCCAATATTTTGCAACGCAATCATTAACTGCCTCGCCTCGAAGCACAATCTGATTATAATTCGTTACAACTTACCCAGCAATTGTAGCCATGGTGACGATAATTGAGCCTGCCTGATCGACTACCAAGTGCCATTTTGTCTGGCATGGGGTTTTCTCTCCCCTATCTGTGCCCATGACAGCTGGCATGAAGCGACTGTTCCAATTGGCCCAAAAGCCCATGCTCTGATTGGTCCGTCTGGCGGTGATATGTCTAAATTTAATTGGCTCGTGTGGACGCGCGGTCATTGTGTAGATTTATCAAGTTCGGAGCAAATGCTTGTTCGACTTAGGTAAAGACAATGCAATTGCAAATTAAAAAAATGAAACTAAAATTTCTAAATTAACACATCATCACTTTTCATTTATTTTAAGTGAATTTCTTGGGTCCTAATCACACTTTTTTTAAAAAAATTGATGGTGGGGGAAGGTACAAAGAAGTGAGGTTACATTAGCCTTCTTGGTGTCTGCGTAATTTATCCACCTATTACCTGAAGTTCTGGAAACAATAGATACAGCAAGACTTCACGACTCTCTGTGGGTAGAACCATTCCACGTCTTTCAGTATTCCATCGATTCTTGAGTATGCAACCCGGAGCGGTTTGAATAGCGTTCGACGTTGGACCTGGATCCAACTTGCTACTGGGACATCGCAACGCCGTCATACTTTAATTCAAGGTCTTCCTACGGCTTGTTTGGATTTCCAACCGCTGTATCGAACTCTGCTTTGTAGACTGCTATGCGATTTCTACGTTCATTCCGAGATTCATGGATGAGAATTTTTTGGTGAAACCGTTGGAATTGTAGCTGCCTTTAATCCCTGAACTTCTCGAGTATCGGATGAGTCTGCCTTGTGCCGAAGTCCATAAGTTTGAACTGTTTTAGTAAATGATAGCTTTGGAAAATCGATTGCAAATCTATCGATCCGACTACAGTTCTTTTAGGGGACGGGGTACAACTGAATTTCGTGAGTGTTTGCTATAGGATTTCTCGAAAATTTTCTAACTGTGTTTGTTTAAAGATGCACTCGATCACCTCTCAAGTTCATAGCCCTGTAGGAGCCTAAATTAGCACTACCACAAAACCCTATCGATAACAGCCGGTTACAACCCGAGAAGAGAAACGACAGAGTCGAAAGAGAACACGACCGTTTATTCGCGTCACGCCTGTCGAGCCGCGTAAAATCGAGTAACTAACCTCTGTGTGCGTATCGGTACGCGTGCGTAACAGGTGACTGCTAACAAGAGCCAATAACAAAGAGGGTGAGTCATCGACAAAGTCGGGCAAGCATACACGCAGCACTCACGCGCGCAGTGGCTGTCTGTCCACAACAGTGCATGAACGAAAAAAATCGATTGATTGGTGTTAGCTCGCGCTTGCAAACTGCGTTCGCTCACGAATGCTAGCTGTGCTGGCTTGCTGGTCATTGCAGCCTATTCAACACGTCCTTCAACGAGTCTTGCCAGATCAGGATATTCATTTGGATTTTGCATCCAAGCCGCGAACTCAGCTCTTGACTTCCACTTGAGATGACAGTCTTGTCGAGGTTAAATCAAGATTTCCACAAGAAACAAGGCCAGAAGTTTAGCCCAGGTGATTTGGGCTCGGCATGTGGTGGTTGGACCAACTTGACGAATGCCGTGGTGCTAACATTGTGGCGTTGTTCCATGGTTCAACTGTTCCACGGACGGACCTAGGATTTTCATCAATCGTGATCGACTCAGCGCTGCATTTACGCTGCGCACTGTAGACTTACCTTTATCAGTCATCATTGAGATCTCCAAAAATGTCTTAATTCTGAGACAGTACAGGGGACTTGTCAATGCTTCCATGATGTGACACCCCAACCTTCCAAAATGTTGCCCAGCGAAGACATGGCACCAAACTATCTCCTCCGTCAGAGATGAAATCTTGCCTGAAGTGCTGTAAGCCGGTAACGCACACTCCCAGCAGGGTCCATAGACAGAACTTGTCCCTCATGAGAAAAGGGTTGCCAGTTGATTCTAGTAGTGAGACAAAGAGGGACCAATTGTTTCATTGTAATGCATTGAATGGAAGACTACTTCATTGTAAAGTGAGACCCTGAGGAATTTAAGATACCAGCTTACTAGCAGATCCTTAAATCACGTCTTTGATTGGTTTGTGGCGACCAGCAAACCAGCACACTTAGCCTTCGTGAGCGAACGCAGTTTGCAAGCGCGAGCGAACTCAAATCAATCGATTATTTCGTGGACAGACAGCTACTGCACGCGTCAGTAATTATTGATTGATTGTTATTGATTTTTTGATAGCAGTCGCCTGTGACGCACGCGTATCGATACGCACACAGAAGTTAATTACTCGATTTTACTCGACTCGACTTGACTGGCGTGACGCGAATAAACAATCGTGTTCTCCTTTGCCTGTCTTTTCTCTTTTCGGGTTGTGACCGGCTGTTATCTATACGGTTTCGCGGTAGTGCTAATTTAGGCCTTTACAGGTTTAATAATTACTTCCATTAAGTCTGCTTCAAAATTCCAGATCTGTCGCAAAATAGAACCCAAGGAAACCCAGTACACATCGATGTGACCAGATACGAAGGGCAAATGAGGTAGAATTGGGTCTTTCAAGTTCTTGATAGTCCACATGCCAAAGAAAGCGTCAGCGATCCAGTACAGAATTGTCGAAACCTACTGATGGAAGATAGGTCTTTGGACTGTGTCACGGAATAGTAGTGAAGCTTGGAACGCAAAGTCATTAGTCTCTATCGCTGACTGTGAAGTAGAAGGAGGAGGTAGAATCGCATTCAGACGAATATCCAATCGGTTGACGACTTAATCATGCTGCGTACGATCACAG